GCTGGTTGCGAGACAAGTTTTGGGAGCATTTGAAATTGATGGTGAAAATCTGCAAGCCAATGATAGTCTTATATTCTAGTTCTTAACAATTTGTAATTCTGAATTCTGATTGAAATGTGAGTTTCCAGCTGTTGAATAACATAAGAATCTCTGTCTTGCTGGTCTAAATTGTTATAGGTCTAAGAATCTCTCTCACTGTTATAGGTCTAAATCGTTTTCAGGTCTTGATTACATCACTTATATGATTTAATCATTCTTTCCTCTAAAAAGATTTGAGATGCATGATTGCAAGGAGCAGTTTCAGGAAACTGTAGGCTTGGATATCTTTATATGTGCAAATCTGTTAAGAGCACATCCTGCTATTATGGTATGTAATACTATTTGTTTTAAGGAGGACGATTGCTGATTCTACTTCCTGTTCTTCTCCTGACATATGCCATACATGTGACCAGATGACCAATATGTGTATCTTAAGAGCTGAAACTTATAATAAATCTTAAAAGTAATTTGATTTTGAGCAGTTTTATCAAAGTCTAAGATTATGGTAGATGATCAAATATGTTCTTTATATGCTAACACGTTCTCTCAGGTGAAAAATCATTAGACTGAAAGTGTTTTTGTACGTCTATCTCTAGATCTATACTTATTAGCGTATAGTCTTGAAAAATCCTGGTAAATGGCAGGTGTCCATATATTATTAGAATTGTATAAAACTCTAGTTATCTTTTTCCTTTAATATATATATATAATTTCATGGAAATTACAGTAGCTTTTAGTAACCACAATGATTAATTCAATTGACACTAAGGAATATCTTTTACCTACACAATTTGGATGTAATTCTTTTTAAGTATTCTAGAAGTAAAATTTAAATATGGAAGACACTAATATTGATTAATGAGTTTTTAGTTGAATTAATTAATACTATATGTTTTGACATTAGGCATCCTGCTAAACTTTTAATATTTTTTTTTTTCCCACAAAGGACAAAATGTCAAGAGAGTGATAAAAAATTATGTAAAAATTGAAAATAAACAAAATGGTAAGTCAAATATTTCTATTAAAAATAATATTTTTCAAATTTTTATAACCTTTTCATAATTAACTAAATTATGTTATTTTATGAATAAAGTTCATGTAAACTTAAAAAAGAAATATTTTCATGTACGAACTCTAGCTAGTTCCATTATCCAGCAAACTAAAGGGGGTAATTAGGCACTTGAAGCAAATGACAGATGTGAGGTGTTGGAACTGGGGCTTTTGTGATTATAATATTATATATATATATATATATGACATGACAAATGTGAGTTGTGGGAAATGGGGCTTATGTGATCATAATATAATATAATATATATATGTGTGTGTTCTCAAATCCAGTGCAAAGGAACACGAGCATGAGCCATCTACAATCTTCTTTTCCAGTTTCATCCAATCATTTCAAAATGACTATTCACACGCCAGCTTCATCCACTAACCATCTTTTCCCCTGATTGACTACTTTTTTACATTTATTTTTCTTGAAACTATTATTCACAAAACCACGTATTCATTTTAAAATTATGTTAAAAAAAAAAATATTATTATACCATTAGTTCTTTATCTATTTCCTCTAATACCATAACATTAAAAAAAAAATTAAGGATTACATTTGTAGCTCAACTGGAGAAACTTTAGCGGTTTTTATCTAATCATTTTATTATATATTAATATAAATATACTTATATTTATAGTAAAATTTAAAATATATTTATTAATATAATATATATGTATGCACACAGTAGATGGGGTCGAGACGAAATTTGAAAGACAAAACTTGAATCCGTTCTAACATGTGCTTATTTTTTCACAAACCCAAATTCGACTTGATTTGAACTCCTACTTAATAATAATAATAATAATCGTATTGTATCAAGTTCAAATGAATTGAAGTAAATGAGTTCAAATGCAAAATGTTTTCTCAAACTCCAACCATTTATTTCATTCTTTAAGATACTTATAAGAACAAAATATATTTAAATTTATAAAAATTAGAATAAATAATTGATTTTGATCGGATGTTTGGTACTTTTATGAGGGTATTGAGTTTGAGTTAACATAAAAATTTCATATATTCTCGTTATAAGATCGTAATATTATTAATTACATTAATGTTAGTAACAAGTTTTATTTAATTATATATCAATTTTTATTTAAAATAAAATAATTAAACTTTTTTTCTTTTTTTTTTCCCTAGTAGTAGCACTTATATTGTTAATTCACATTGATCTCTTAATTACGTTTTTCTATTATCTAGTGCATTGATATACAATTTTTAATAATAATATTTATTACTTTAAAACTAAATTGAATTAAATATTAACTACTAGCGATCGAAGGTTAGATATAAACAGTTTGAATATTTTATTTCATATTCATATTAAATGAAATTGTTATTGTATTCTATTTTTTATTTTTTTCAGAAATATTAAATTTTAAATAAAACAAAAAGTCAATAATCATCTTAATTCATTTAATTTGTAATGAAAAAATTAATAAAATAAACAATAATCCATCAAGTGCTAATGAACAAATTCATATTTCAAAAACTTTGGTTTTAAAAACATTAATTTATGATAGTCAAATGTCAAATCAAATTTAAAATAATAAAAATAATTTTTTTTAAAATCAGTCCAGTTTAATTTAAACTAAAACATAGGATAAATGATATAATTTTTAATTTTATATATCATAAAATAAAATTTTAATTATATAATACTTAATTAACTTAGTCCATTTAATTGAGTAGAATCCAATTTTTCCATCCATATTGAATTACAAATAAACTTGCTTGTTATACTTCATTTCCATTGTCATATGAGATAATAGCAAATCAAAATTCACCTACAAAAATCATTATCATACCCAATGTATCGATATTAAGAAACTTACGATCGAGGTAAACTCCACCAATGCAAGTTCTATGGTCGAGGTAGACTCCATCAGTGCAAGTTCATTTTCCCAGCAACAAAACTCTTAAGCTTTTGATCGATAAATTATAAGTAGTCATATAAAGATGTTTCACTTTATTTAAGAGATCTAATTCTTTCAAATTTATTGCGACGTTATTTTTTCCGATAATCTTTAAATCCGCTGAACCCACAACATCCCAATGAACAATTTTATTTTGCCTCAGGCTCCTATTGATCTTCTGTTCCACCTCCATGTGAGCCACACTGACACTACTAAGGCTTGTGCTTTATGTACTTTTTGCTTTTCCTAATTGTAGAAGAAGAAAGTTCATTTAATAGTGATAAATTATTTATATTTTATGGGTAAATAATTAAAACAGTTTTTTACACTGTCTGGAAGAACATTGTAATTTTAGTTCAGAAATTTAGGATGTTTTAATAGTCATAATTTTTTAATTTTGAATAGAAAAAATGTAGTTATAAAAATTTAGTAGTAGTCTGAGTAATATGAATTTACAGCTTCAAGAGTGTGAGTGGCGGCGGGTGCTCTTCCTTGTTTTGCTTTTATTTTCTGAAAATGCGCGAGAAAAGAAGAGAAAAAGCAAAAGGCGAATGGCGACCCGTCAAAAAAGCCATGTTCGTAAATACCCAGACTTTGTAGGGTAAAGTAGTAAAATCGAATAGGGTTTTACCCACCCATATTCCCTCCATCGTCATCGTCAGAGGAAGAAGAAGGACACTGAGCTGGTGAGGAAAGACATGGTTTCTGATAATTCTCTCTCTTCTTCTAACAACAGCCGCTCTCCCGCTTCCAACTCCTTCACTACTCGGTGCACATACTCTCTCTCTCTCGACTGTATTACACATATCTCGGAGAACGTCCAATATCCATTTCTTCTTCATGCTCTCATTGATTTTTGAGGAGTTAACGAAGAGTGGCTTTTCCGTTTTAAGAAATATTCACCTTTCTGGTTTTGTTGTTTTTGGCGGATTAGAATATGGAAGTGTCTTGTCTGTTCGTGATTTTATCACTTTTAAATTCAGGCTTATTCTAATTGTCAGTTTCTTTGCTTACTTTAAATTATTCTTTAATCCACATCTTTGATCAAAGAAAAAGTAATTTTTTGTGTTAGGTTCTGTACTTGCCTTGATTACTAATGCTGTATGTGATTCAGTATGATCATGAAGAGCACCCTACAATGCCCACTTGTTTCCTTGTGCCATTTACAACATAAGAAAGATTATGAGGAAAAAAAAAATGGAAATGCAACAGAAAATGAAACAAAATAGTATTAAGCTCACAGGATCTCAGTCTGAATCCCAGTCCATCTTCAGGCGCAACTTTTGGATCTTTTAACATAACATAACAATGCAACTTTTGAAGTTTTTTCGTTTCTGATTACTAATGCAACTAACTCTGTTAATTTTGCAACATTCTTTTAATAAGATTGTTGCTGTTTTCTGCAACTTTTGTTTTTTTTTTCAAATATCATATGTGGTAGAATTTGTGGGTTCAAGAAAGGAAATTTGTTGCTTAGTAGGCATTTGAAACCTATAAAAGCAGATTGGGAACTAATAATAGGGTTCTTTCTTTTTTTAAAAAAAAATCCCCTGGTTCTCTCTCTGTTTTCTCTCTTCTCTGCTTCCTCTCATTTAATTTTCCCTCTCCTTTTTTCTCACTTTTTTCCAACTGCATACATGGCTGAGAATGCATGTACCAGACTTTTTAAGTTTCGGAAATCGTTTAACTAAGTTCTGGCTTTGGTGCAGTTGGTCTAGTAATGGCAGTGATGCTGCTTATGCAAACATTTACATTGTGTATTTCTATCATCCTTCATTTTGCAATTCACCTAATAAGCTGTTTTCTCATGCAGAATATTTTCAGATGTTGCAGGGGATATTACGATCGTCGTTGATGGAGAATCCTTTCTGTTACACAAAGTAAGCTCTCCATTTCAACCAATCTTCAGAGATTCTACCATACTACAGTCTGCACGATTAAATTGTCTGATTTTGTTGTTCTTGAATAATGATTCGTTGAGAGCTTTCTCCTGTTTACCCTATATCAGTAAATCAGGCTTGAGCAGACCTTAATTCCATATTTATGATTATTGCTTCCAATAATCAGTCCGGT